AAAAAAAAAAAATTATCTGGACAGGTCCACGTCTTCGTATAAGTCCCCACATACCGGTACCTCCCGATATTCGGTATTTTGATGATTTTAGCGACATTATTCACCGGAATTGTTTCAAATTACGTATTTAGAGCTCGTAATGGGAACTACAGTCTGTGACAGAAAATTGTCTATGCAGGTCTAGGACTTCGTATAGGCCACACATACCAGTACGCTCCTATATTCGTTATTTTGACGAGTTTGGGTACAATACCCACCGAAATTGTTTGAGACGTGTTTTTGAAGTTCGTAATGGATGCTATAGCCTATGGCAGAAAATTGTCTATGCTGGTTCAGGTCTTCGCGCAGTTCCGATAAAACGGTACCTCACTATATACGATATTTTGATGATTTTAGCTACATTATTCACCGTTTATTTCAAGTTTCGAATTTGAATATGGTAATGACTTATGACGAACAATGCCCATGTTGGTCCACGTCGTATAGACACCAGTATAACGGCTATATTCGGTATTTGCAAAATTTTAACAGAATTTTTTAAGGATTCTATTTTCAAATTCGTTCCAAATGGTGGAGGGTATTCACCGCTTTTTAACTTGTTCACAAACTAACATAGCCCTGATCGTTTATTTTTATTTCGTTTTTTGTAAGAAAATATTAGGGGGAAATTTAAAAAAAAAATCAAAAAAAAGGATTAAAAAGGCTAGACAAATAAAAAAGCTCGAAATGTGTATTTTCACAAAAAAAAAAGTTTTAAAAACGCTTGGAGATTAAATTTTTCAAAAGTATTTTTGATGACCTGCTAATACTCCAGGTTTGTTTTAAAGCCAAAAAGTTCGGGAATTGAAATTAAATTGCTGTTGGATTTTGAAAAAAATATCTTTAAGGGAGATTTTTCGACAAATATCTTACAGGGTCTAGTAATGCACTCAAAATAAAATAAAAACAAATGAAGACCAAGAAGAGTCTTGGAAACTTGAGTGTGGTCTTAAATTTCTTTGTAAATCTAGTTAAGCTCTGAGCGGTGAATAAAAATTTAATAATAAATCTTTGAACATAAATCCATAATTTTTTATTTAAAATCATTAAAAACACGTCTTTCTCCACCAAATTTGTCAATGCCGAGTGAGAGGGTGGGTCTTGTGTCTCTTGCCATTTCATAATAGGTCGCGATTAAGTTTACTATGTTTGTTTTATTTGATGATGTCTCATACAACGCTTTTCTTTTCACAGCCACAAAAACAGCGAAAAAATCGCGTTAATTGCCCGAAAATGTTGTTATCACTTTAATGACAGCCAGCATACCAGCCAGAACAACGACAACAACAGCAGCAACAATGCTCAGTGCAAAATGATTACAACTTTTTGGGGTAAGCATGTGCAGAAAGGGGAAAAGAAGATAAACGACGCTTATGCTTAGAGTAAAGAGGAGAAATATTCATTGGAGATCTCATAAAGTAAAATATGATTCCTGATCAGCTTACAATTCGAAATTAAGTTTATAATTAAGTTACGAACGTCTATGGAAGTTATGGAGCTCGTAAAACCTAGGATAGATCATTGAAATTTTGACCGAACATTGAAATTACTCCGAGAAAGTTTAGTATTGAAAACCGCTATACATTGGTTTACATTTTGAATATTCGAAGTATAGACGTTGCTTTTTTAAATCGAAACAAAAAAACCTGAACAAAACATCTTCTCAATTTTATGTTTTAATATTTGAAAAAAAAAACCAGTAAAGAAAGTCCTAAAGTCGGGCGGGGCCGATTTTATGATACCCTACACTACTTTGCTAATTTAGTAGAGTTCCGCATAACAATTAAAAGTTTTGATGGGAGAATTCAATCACACAGGCTATGATTATAATTATAATTTAAAATTCAAAGGACTAAATATGCCGAAGCATTTGTATCTTTTAAATTCGGACTCTTATTGCCCATTTGGTGCGAAATTAATTTGAAATCGGATAAAAATATATATGGGAACTATATCCAAATCTGAACCGATCTCGATAAAATTTGGCAAAGATATTTCTGAGCTGTATTTGATATATTTCCCTGAATATCGTTGTTACGGAGTGCATATTACGGCTGTGGGTAACAAATACAATAAATCGGATGAACAATATATATGGGAGCTATAACTATATCTGAACTGATCTTCACCAACTTTGGCATACTACCTTCTAGACTAAATTCGGTCGTATGTGCCAAATTCCATCCCATTTGGACAAATATTAGACGTTTGGTGCACAATAAATGGTAAATCGGACGAAGTTATATATGGGAGCTATATCCAAATCTGAACCGATCTCGATAAAATTTAGCAAAGGTATTTCTGAGCTGCATTTGCAATATTTCCCCAAATATTGTTGTTACAGAGTGCATATTACGGCTGCAGAGGACAAAAATAACAAATCGGCTGAACAATATATATGGGAGCTATAGCTATATCTGAACCGATTTCGATCAAATTTGGCATACTTATTTTCAGGCCTAATTTGGTTGTATGTGCAAAATTCCATAATATTCCGGCTGATACTACACGTTTGGTGCACAATAAAAGGCAAATCGGACGATGATATATATGGGAGCTATATCTAAATTTTTACCGATTATCTCCAATTTCAATAGGGTTCGTCCTTGGGCCAAACAAATGTTGTTTGCAAAATTTCATCTCAATCGGATAATAAATGCGACCTGCATTTTGTTCACAAGAATACATGGACAGACGGACGGACGGACGGACAGACGGACTGACATGCATAAATCAACTCAGAAAGTGATTCTATGGAGATCATCAAAAGGAACTATGAGTCTATCTCGTTTCCTTTTGCCTGTTACAAACAAATGCACAAAGACATAATACCCTGACCACCTTGTGGTGTAGGGTATAAACATTGAATATTGTTTGCTGGTTTCATTTTGTTTGTGTTTTTTGTTTTTCGTCCAAAAATTATGAATCGCGTATCACATAATGCAAATCATGCACAGACAGACACAGTATCATGCAATAACATAAAACAACCAAATAAAAAAAAAAAAAACAAATTCTGCTGCTTCTGAACAATGAATGAATGAACTGTCGCGATTATTGGCATGACGAGCGACGACTGATAAGCCACAGTTCACTGTTGTACCCGAAACAAAATTAAAGGATATTATTAAGAAAAACATGTTAAGGGTCAGCATTAGCATACCAAAAAAAAAAACAAAAAGGTCATGGAACTTGGAATTCCAAAAAAAATGAAAACAAACCTTAGCTCCGGATACCAATCCGTTGGACTATTGTGTCTGGAGTATTTTGGAAAGCAAGGTTGGCACTAAAAAATACCAAAGTGTCGATCACCCCAAGCAAGCGTTTCGCCGGGAGTGGGACAAAATACCGCAGAGCAACATTCGGGCAGCGTGTGACGGTTTCTCTCACCGTTTGAAGGCCATAATTCGTGCCAAAGGTGACCGATTGGAACAAATCTAAACTTTTTTTAAAATTTGATGCTTTTTCCGACATTTTTTTGCTTTTATTCAATAAAATTAAAAAAAAATGTAAAATCTATGGCGTTTGACTTTGTTGCAGTTTCTTTATCTCACCCTGTATATTCATGATCAGCATAAAATTCTAAGTCGATTTATAGATGTCCGTCTGTCTGTCTGTCCGTCCGTCCGTCTGTCTGTTGAAATTACGATACAGCCCACATTGTTTGACGTAGAGCTTCAAAATTTAGCACAACAATTTGCATTGTGCCTAGGATGTTTGGCACTGAAAATGAGATATATCGAACCACGTTTGGTATAGTCTCCATATAATGATAACCACCGATATTCGGTATTTTGATTATTTTTGCCACATTTTTTTTCGCAAAATTGTCTAAAAATTTTTATTTGTAGGTCATAATGGATTCTAGCTCTAGTGGCCAAAAATTGGGTCCACGTTTTAGTATAGCCCCCATAACGGTAGCTCCCGATATTCGGTATTTTGATGATTTTTTGTCACATTTTCTTTCACCGATTTGTCTTAAAATTGTTATTTGTAGGTCATAACGGGTTCAAGCTCCAGTGGCGAAAAATTGTATGTATAGGTCCACGTTTTAGTTTGTAGAGCCCCATATAACGATACCTCCGGATATTCGGTATTTTGATGATTTTTGCCACATTTTCTTTCACCGATTTGTCTAAAAATTGTTCTTTGTAGGTCATAATGGATTCTAGCTCCAGTGGCGAAGAATTGGGTCCACGTTTTAGTATAGCCCTTATAAAACGGTACCTCCCGATATTCGGTATTTTGATGATTTTTGCCACATTTTTCGCAGATTTGTCTAAAAATTGGTTTTTGTAGGGTAAAGAGGGTTCTAGTAGATCCGGCGCCAAAACATTGTATGTATAGGTTCACGATTTTTTATAGCCCCCATATAACTAACCTCCCGATATTCGGTATTTTGATGATTTTTGTCACATTTTTTCACGGATTTGTCCCCCTTGCCTTTATGTTGTTTTATAAGCAAGATTTATAATTTCATCTTCTAAATCGAATGAAAACCAATCTCTTCCTTCAGAATTAGAAGTAGAATCAAAAGAAATCGTCGGCTTTTATTAATATTTTTTTCTTCATATCTGAGAACTTTTTCGGTACATTCCCCACAAATAAAAAAAATTAATAACTAAAGCGCTCACAAGATACGAAAAAACATCCGAATCGTTTTAAAATTCACACTCTCAAATATTGACAAGGATAAATATTTTCCTCGATTGAAAAATCCTGCGGATTGGTTCGGTTGGATACTGGCACATTTTTTTTTCTTAAAAAAATTGCAATAACAATTTTTTTGGGTACATTTTTTTATTTTATGTATTTTTTTACTTAATTTTTTTTTATTATATTTTTCCTAATTTTTTTATTAAATTAAATTTTAGATATTATTTTTTTAAATTATTTTCATATATTTTGTTTTTTTTTATTTTTTTTAATTTCCATTTTGATATAAATGTTTTATAACTTACATTTTATTTCCAATTGATATTTGGAAGAATGTTTTCTTTCTTCTAATAATCCAGTGGAATTGGCGTATTTATTTATTTTTTTTTTTTCTTTAAATAATTTATGATATGTTTTATGCACAAACAACAGTTGGTTTTGTATATTTATAATAAATGCTTTGGATATATATCTTTTTGTTTTCGAAAACAAAATAAATAAAATTTAACAAAGTTTCTTTGAGAAACTCGAGGAAAAAATAACTGTTTTTAAGTCATCACTTCTTGAAATTATTTCTTTGAAATTATTTAATATTTATTTATTTTTTTATTATCGTATGAAAAAAATCATGTTTTATTTTATTATTATATCATATCTCTTGTTTTCATATTTGTTTGTTTGAAATATTTATTTATTTATTTTTTTGTTCGTTTGTTTGTTTGCTTTTTTGTTTATGAACAAAAAAAAATCTGTTATTTTTATACGGCAACAAAAATTCATAACACAATTTTTTTTCTTTTATTTTTAATTTTTATTTCTGTTTTGTTTGGATTTATTTTTGGCTTTGATAAAATTAATTTTATTTTTATTTTCGGGTTGTTGCTGTTTTTTTTTCTGTGTGAGTTTTAAAAATAAGCAATAATTATTTTTAAATTATATATGGGTAGTAGTTGTTGTTGTTGCTGTATTTTTAGTCCAAACAAACATTACGGGCTGTTGTGGATCTGATGTTTGCAGATGGTATCATGGGACTAGGGCTACCCCAGACCTCATCTGGCCATCATGTGATAATGCGGGCCCAATTGTCTGATCAAACTTCAGATGTTTTTTTTTTATTTTTATAGAGATCGGCAGACAGGCGAATGGATTGGTTTGATTTATAAAAAATATATATTTTTTGTTCTTTACAAATTTAGAAAATTTTATTTATATTTATTTTTGTATTTTCAGAATTTTCCTCTTGTCTAGCGCTCTGTTTACCGTGCTCGAGTGTACGGACGACAACGACGACGACGACGGATGGCATGGATATTTTTAAAACTGCACGCGCTCCTCTTCTAAAGAATCACAGACACCCGAAAATTACGAGACAACATAAAAAAGAAGACACACGGCTGGCATTCTTCTTCATTCTTCATTGGCCACGGAGGAGGCAGCCAAATCTCAATGCGCTCTCCAATGGGTGCGTATACACTACGATTATTATTATTATTGTTATTATGAATGAGAGTGTATAGATTTAAATGTATTGGTGTGTGTATGTTTGTTTTTTTTTTATTTATTTTTAATAATAATTTTTTTCTTTCACTGCGTTCTTTCTTTTTTTTTGGTGAAATTTTGCGCGTCACGTCTCGAAAAGAGTTCCGTACTCGAATGAAACCGTATTGTTATGTTACGAAAATTTTTATAAAATTAACTCAAACGGCAGCGAAGAAGAACCCCGCCGCACACACAGAACAACAACAGAAGACGGAAAGAAGAACACAACACGGCAACGGCGGCTAACGACGGCTAACGACGACGACGACGTCCACGACGAAGAACAACCGTGTGGTATAACGAAGAGCAATGGTGTTAGTGTTGTTGTTGTCAGTCGCTCGGTTGTGCCTCAGTCCCAAAGGCAGAGATTTGTGTGACGAACGAACACCAAAGAATATTGTTGTCGTTGTACTACCTACCGTTATACCATGGAATGGGACGAGAGTGAGAGAGAATAAAAAAACGACAACATACCAATATGTGTGTTTTTTTTTTGTTTATAAAAATATAGTGAGTACGTACAATACACAAACAGTAACAACAACAAAAGCACACATTCAGTTTCCTATTAGGATAACAACTTAAAACACAAACACACACACATGCATCCATGCGTGTGTGCACGAAGTGCGTAAAACGGAAAATCCCATGTACTCATCAACAACAGCAACTCCATACCTTCCGCACACGGAGTATCCTACCCACACACACACACACGGTCAGTATACCACGGAGAGGAGCTTAAGGCTCCGTTATGCAAATCAGAGTGACAACAAGGAAATGCTGCTCTCGCTCTCTCTCCCTAACTCTTGTGTGTTCACCGTTAATCTGTTATTTTTCATCGTCGTCGTCGTCGTTGTTGTTGATAGTCAACAAACATATGTTGCTTTTGGTGTTGTTGGTGTGTTGACGACAATCGGCAACTGTGCGTGTTTGGAGTAAGAGAGCGTAAGAAGAGCAATATAATTACTCATTGAGAATGAGGTATCGTTTTATAACTCAGAATACTGCTCAAAGCAGAGGAAAACATCAACAATTGTTATCATATTTTATTTTATTGTTGCTGGTTTGTTTTTATTGCAAACATAACGAAATCGTCGCAGAAAGAAGGTAAATAAGAAAAAAGGAAATAAGAAAAACGGTAAACGGAATAAAACGCCAGTACAGGTTCATATCTGTTAAGAATCGTCACTGGAAACTTCTGGGCGAAAAAAATCGACCAAATATAAGCGTTTTGGAAGGCCTTCAGTTTAAAGAAGACTCCCTCGGAAATCATCATTTGAAGAGAAGATTTTTTGGATCCAAAAAAGTTCTTTTATACGAAGACCTTTTTCTGGCTCTTCTAGACGAAGACCTTTTTTTGGCTCTTCTAGACGAAGACCTTCTTTCGGGTCTTTTATACAAAGATCTTCCTTCGGGTCTTCTAGACGATGACCTTCTTTCGGGTTTTCTATACGAGAAGAGAATGACTTCTTTCGGGTCTTCTATACGAGAAGAGAAGACCTTCTTTCGGGTCTTCTATGAGATGACCATTTTCTGGTATTCTTCTATGGAAAACCCTACCTCTGGTCTTCTTCTATGAGAAGACTTTCTTTTGGTCTTCTGTGAGAAGTCTTTCTGGTCTTCTTCTATGAGAAGTTCTTCTGGTCTTCTTCTAAGTGAAGACCTTCATTCGGGTCTTGCAGATCTTCTTTTATGAGAAGACCTGCTACTATTCCTCCAAGAGAAGACGTGCTCTTCTTCTATGAGAAGACCTGCGGCTCTTCTATGAGAAGACCTGCGGCTCTTCTATGAGAAGACCTGCTGCTCTTCTATGAGAAGACCTGTTGCTCTGCTTCTATGAAAAGACCTGTTGCTCTGCTTCTATGAGAAGATATGCATCTCTGCTTCTATGAGAAGCTATGCATCTCTTCTTCTATGAGAAGACCTGCTGCTCTTCTTCTATGAGAAGACCTGCTGCTCTTCTTCTATGAAAAGACCTGCGGCTCTTCTATGAGAAGACCTGCTGCTCTTCTTCTATGAGAAGACCTGCTGCTCTTCTATGAGAAGACCTGCTGCCCTTCTTCTATGAGAAGATCTCCTGCGCTTCTTCTATTAGTGGGAAGACCATCTGGTCTTCTTCCATTCTGTGAGGAGACATTTCGGTCTTCTACATTCTTTGTTGTCTTCAATAAAAAAAATTATTTGAAATTCCCTAAGAAGGCTTTCTATGAGAAGGGTTTCTGCACTTCTGTGAGAAGACCTTTTGACTTTAAATGAGAACATCCATTAGTCTTCTATATGAAGATCTCTTTCATCCAGTATTTACATAAACAATTCATATTCTGTAATTCTTTATTTCCTCATATTTTTCTTTTTGACATGAAATTAAATACCTTTTTTGTTAGTTCCCTACTCACAATTTTCGCGGCTCATGTAAATTTTTCTTCTCAATCTAAGCAAGGAGAGCCCATCACTCACACACACACCCTCTCTCAGTCATAAAATTCAAACAGAAAGTGTTAAGGCAATGATACCGTTAACAACAATCAGGCAAAACACCTACACACACGTTGACGTTTGCGCTCTATTTCAGCGGATATGTGGTTCTCTGTCATTTAGCTCTCTTTCTCTCGGCTGACGTTTGAGTGTTTTCGATGAAAGGCACTCAATAATGAACCTAATGTGTGGGACAAGTGGGTTGTTGTTATTGCCGTATAATGTTTGTTGCTTGGATGGGTGAGTGGGTGTGAGTGTGTGTGTGCTTTCTTGTGTACAGGAATTCATTTTGGAAAAAATGAAAGCAAAAGTGAAAAGAAGGAAAATGTGATAGAGAGAAAAACAAAACAACAATTGGAGAAAGGTAATCACAGAAAACATATGATTTTTGTTATTGTCGCGCTCTATGCCATTTTTCCAAAATCCCTCGACTCGTTAAGAGAGAAGTAATTTCATGGAGACCTCAAATGAGTGGGAAATCAAGCTTTCTCTCTCTCTCTTTATGCATAACGTAAGTATCTCCTTACCAGTAGTCAATGAATGGGATACAGATACAATTTTGTTACTCCCACGCAAAGGCCAGGGTCTTTTTTGGTTTACTGATAAGCTAACAGCTGACTGTGGATACAAACTTTACTTTCCTTTCTTTTGTACAAATGCTATGCTACAAGGCACCCACGTGAATTTCTCTGTGTGAAACAAACTAGGGACTTTTGCCGGGACTAAGGATATTCTTGGAAATGTTGTGTATTTTCTTTTTGCCTAGGTGTTAAGGGAAACGGCTATCCCTTTGTAACAACAAATGTTTGTTAAAAAAGCTTTTCCCCCCGCTCTCCTGTACTTCTCTTTCTTTTATCTGTAATTTAAAATAATAATAATGTGAAATGGGAGAAAAAAAAAACAGCAATTTGGAAGCAACAGTTTGTTTGGCAAGCACATAGATTCTGGAATCCTTTGTTCTCGTTGTCTTTTCTCGGTCTTTAAGAAATATTTATGTTGGCTTTTTATTTAATAAAAAAGGGTAGTTTTAGGAATTCCTTTGAGATGTTTTCAAGTTTGTAGGTATCTTTTATGTGTAAAGTTTTCAATAACTTGGGTTGCCCTTTTTAGTATCTCTAATTTTTTTGGTTGCCTTGTCCTTTTTTGTACTAAACCTACATTAATATGTTCCAGGTTGACCATTTATGATTAACTGGAAATTAAGAGCTTATGGTTTTGTTTTAATTTATTAAAATGAAAAAAATTGGGGTTAGTTCTTACGAAAGGATAAATAAATGACACCGATAACCGGGACCTTTGAAAAATCCTAAATTTCTAATAGAAATCCTAAATTTCTAATAGAAAACCTCTAAGCGGCCACCAATCTTAAATGTATAATATAGTGATATTTCCTTAAACGATGAAACTTACCTGTTGACCACAAATGATTAATTATTTTCTGAAAAGAAAGAAAAAAATTGTTTATTATAAACTTTATTAAAAAAGTCCAACAAGTTAAAAAGTATCAGTCGGTATTGCCGCCAGATATATACCCTCAGCCTATGTTCGATTATTTAAATATGTTTTGACTAGTGTTAAGATTATTCAAACGTTTAAAGGAGTAGGTCAATATTGCCCATTTCCTATCGGACCCAAAAATATGATATAAATATTTCGACAGATGTGCCAAGTCAAAATGGAATCGGATGTTAATTTGGCGTTTTATGAGGGAGGTACCAGAAGGAGTGGACCGATGTATTCCCCCTTCACACCAGACCATGGGTTAATACAAATATTAGGATGTGTGAAATTTTAAGACAATCGGACTTTTACATCACATTTAATGAGATTGTAATTATTCAAAATTTTGACCATTTGTGGGGGAGGTACATGATGGAGTGGACCGATATTGTCCATTTTCACACCTGACCTATTACTGACGCAAAGTTGACGATATGCAAAGTTGGAGCACATTCGGATTATCCATTCTCTTTCTGTGCAATAAAATATATTTTTTGAAAATTTCGACTATTTGTGGGGGAGGTACCAGAAGCAGTGGACCGATGTATTCCCCCTTCACACCAGACCATGGGTTAATACAAATTTTAGGACGTGTGAAATTTTAAGACAATCGGACTCTTACATCACATTTTATGAGAGTTGTAATTATTCAAAATTTTGACAATTTGTGGGGGAGGTACTTGATGGAGTGGAGAGTTGTAATTATTCAAAATTTTGACCATTTGTGGGGGAGGTACATGATGGAGTGGACCGATATTGTCCATTTCCACACCTGACCTAGCACTGATGCAAATATTAGGATTTGCAAAGTTGGAGCAAATTCGGATTATCCATTCTCTGTCTGTGCAAGAAAATATATTTTTTGAAAATTTCGACCTTTTGTGGGGGAGATACCAGAAGGAGTGGACCGATATTGTTCATCTTAACACCAGACCTTGTGTTAATACAAATATTAGGATGTGTGAAATTTTAAGACAATCGGACTTTTACATCACATTTAATGAGATTGTAATTATTCAACATTTTGACCATTTGTGGGGGAGGTACATGATGGAGTGGACCGACATTGTCCATTTTCACACCTGACCTATTACTGACGCAAAGTTGAGGATATGCAAAGTTGGAGCACATTCGGATTATCCATTCTCTTTCTGTGCAATAAAATATATTTTTTGAAAATTTCGACCTTTTGTGGGGGAGGTACCGGAAGGAGTGGACCGATATTGTTCATCTTAACACCAGATCTTGGGTTAATATAAATATTGGGATGTGCGAAATTTGAATACGATCGGACTCTTACATCACATTTTATGAGAGTTGTAATTATTCAAATTTTTGACAATTTGTGGGGGAGGTACTTGATGGAGTGGACCGATATTGTCCATTTCCACACCTGACCTAGCACTGATGCAAATATTAGTATTTGCAAAGTTGGAGCAAATTCGGATTATCCTTTCTCTTTCTGTGCAAAAAGTATTTATTTTTGAAAATTTCGACCTTTTGTGAGGGAGGTACCAAAAGGAGTGGACCGATATTGCCTATCTCCGAACTCGATCTACGTTTGACAAAAATATTACGATGTAGCCAATTTGGACCAAATCGGATACTCCCTTCGAGAGTTATCGTTAAAAAGTTATTCGTGGTGGAACTCATGCGTGATTTCCTAATATTTGGCTGGAAAACCACAAGTGGCTATCATTAGAGCAAAGTCTCGTACCATCGCTCGTTACCGTGATTGGTGACTGATAGCGTAGCCCGACATCAAATATTGAAAAATGAGCTCGGGTTAAAGCCATTGAAATTCCAAAAAGTGCAAGAACTTACACCGCAACGGAATGAAAATAGACTCTAAAGAGCTAAAGAGTTGTTTCGCTTGCCCGAAGGTGGTGAACTGCCGAATTTGGTTTTCTACGTCTCCGATGAGAAAACATTCGTTTGGTTTTTCCAAATCTGAAACCCTATGTGTGTGAGGTACCAGAAGAAATGGTCCGATTTCTACGAACTTTATAACAGATCTTGTGTTGATGAAAATACTGAGATATGCTAGGACTGAATGGATTCGGATGCTTATTTTGCATTGCATTTCATGGATATTCAAAATGTTGATCCTTTGAGAAGGGGGGTAGGTAGCAGA